TTTTTTTTTTTTTTTTGTGGTTGGACTCGATGATCTCAAAGGTCCCTTCCAACCACTAAGATTCTGTGATTCTGTGATATCCAGGTGTAGCCATGGCCATGCCATGGGTTTTGCAGTAGTATGTTGATGTGTGGGCCCAGTGGGGACAGGATGGTCGCTTCTGCGTCCCTCCGTGTGGGTCCAGTTAATCCACACAGGCATATGAGAGAGGATCTGACTAGTGGCTTAAGGAGATAAAGGGCAGATGAGATGTCCAAGTAACGAGATACTGGTGTAATCCACGCCTGAGACATCCTAGGCTGTAAAGCCACCCTTCCTCCAAGAGTCTGTGAGGTGCTGGGAGGTCTCTCTGGGACAGGGATGTGGATGTGCCAGATGGTCCCAGATGTGTTGGGGCTTCACACACCCAGCGCTGCCACGGCCAGAGATCAGAGATGCTCGGTCCTACGTGGCTGTAAAGGCGAATGCGGCAGGATGAGGCCAGATGTGGGAGGGAGTGACCCTGGTTTGGCAAGAAGGTGTTTTTTGGCAGAGTTTGATGGCCAGGAGAGGGGATCTCCTGGTCTGGGTGGGTCAGGAGCGTGATGGTGGCAGCAGGAGCGCAACCCTTTCTGCCAACCCAGGAGCTGGGGTCTGGCTGGCAGCTTCCACCCTTGAAGTGGTTTGATTTTTGGTAAATGCAATTAATATCTTGCTTTTCCCGTGAAGCTTTTGCAAGAAAAGGGCTGGTTTCAAGACCTTGTTGGTGTTCCTTCTTTCCCATCCCTCAGCTGGAGAGGACGGGGAGCTGGGAGGAGGTGGTGGGGAGCCCCGGGGAGCTGGTGCAGGTGGTGGAGGGGAAGCAAGGGCAGGCTTGCAGCAGGGCACAGGGTTTTCAGTTTTGATGACAGACTGCAAATCGCCAGAGCCTCAGCTGGAGGACAGTGTCACCTCTGCGACCTGGCTGTCCTTGCGGTGGCCGGGAGCGAGGAGCCGGGTGTTGGCTGCTGTTCCCCTTGCAAAACTGCTGGGCCAAACCCTGCGCGGCTCGAGGCACCAAAGGGCAGGAAAAAGCCTCGGGTAGGAAATGGGTGGCACAAAACATGCTTTCTGCTGGGGAGAGCCTTCCTTGGTGTTCTCTGCAGCAGGCTGAAATCAAAGGTTTCCCCGCCGCCGCTGTGATTTCTGTCCCCAGGCTGGTCCCAACTCAAATATAACTTGGCAGAACCAGCCACGGAGCCCAGTGCTGCTCCCGGGGATGTTCTTGCTGCAGGAGGGAGCAGGATTGATCAGGTTACCCAGTGCCATGGGCATTTTTTATGCCTTAAAGATGCTTTTTTCCTCAATATATTTATTAACGGTATAAAAAAATGTCAGAAGGGGCAGGGCCCATCCTGCCCAACCCCCTCCCCCCGAAATGGTGATGCTAAAGCAAGCTTATGTGCAGGGGTAAACCAAAGCAGCAATTTGTAACACCTCCAAAAATCAGTGTTTGCAGGGCAGCAGGTTCAGCCCCCTGCTTGCTCCCTTAATTAAAAGTTTAAAGGTTTCAAAGTGAGCCAGTGGTGTGGGACCTGGGCAAGAAACCCAGGGGGGAGTGCTGGGGCTGTCGGGGGGCTGCTGGGGGGGCTGTTGGCTCCTCTTGCATCCCACCTTGCCATCACTCTCCACATGAACTTTCGCTTGGGTTTAGCTCATCTGGGAGGGTCTCCTTGTTTCTGCTCCCCCGCGACTCAGCTTGTCCCCTTATGCAGCACAGAGCATCCATCACACAGTGAGTTTGCAGGGTCTCAGCCCTCCCCGTGCACCCGTCCTGCCCAGTGGCTGGGGGATATTCGTGTCCTCCTCCCCTCGCTGAGGTTTGCAGCTGTGGGTTAATCCACCCGAATCCCACCAGGCTGAGCCTGTGCGGGGCAAGGACGCAGCCACCCAGGAGCTGCCCTGTTGTTTGCTGCTGTAATCTGTTTTGAAAAGGCAGCCCCTGATGCTGTTTTTTTCCAATTAGGCCCTGGGAGATGATTCTGGTAAGGCAGCGGCTGGGCTAATTTACCAGGCAGACATTTCATTGAATTAGCCCCGTGAGCTGCAGAGCAAAACTGGGAGAGCAGAGCCCAGGCTTGGGGCAGGACTCGTTGGGGAGGTTCGGCATGATGCTCGGTGTGGCAAATAGCCCCGAGCCTAAAACCTGCTCCCGAGCTCTGATGTTAGTGTTTGACCCTTGTTGGACAGACGAACAAGCTCGGGGCTGGTGGGATGCACCAGGAGAGGAAGGATGGGATTTTCTCTGTGAGAGCGCTGGCGGCTGGCAAAAAAACCCTCCCCACCGACTTGCAAAGCGTGCAAATCTGCTGTGGACGTCATTGAAGGAGAATAAATATAGAAGCCTGCGATGCCACTCGTTCCCAGAGTCACTTTTCAGGCCGTAACTTTGCGCTGCGAGGGGACATCAATTAAAGAAAATGTATCTCTGCAGCAAGCGGTTCTGCACGGCTGCCCGGAGGAGTTTGATATGGCTGGGGTCCCTCACTCCTCCTCCTCCCATCCCCATCGGGCACAGCATGACACCAGCCCCTTGTGTCTCTAATCACTTCCCAAAAGCTAGCGAGGGGCAGGGAGGGTAATGCAGCTCTGCTGGTACCAGCCCTGATTTTATTCAGCAATGGTTTGTGTGCTGGGGGGTCTCTATGCCCACCATTGGGTTGCAGCCCCCTCTCCTGAGCTGCCCAGGAGCAGGTGAGCGGTGACCACCAGTGCCTCTGCTCAGCCTGGGATATTTAAATGTTTAAACAACCCTCAGCTCCCTTTTTGAGCCTGCGGGGAGCTGAGCCAGTGGAGCTCAAAATGCCCCTTTCCCGGCAGGTTGGGATGTGCTTGCTGGGGGTGGGTGGAAAATGGACATGGGCTGATCCCCAGTGGCAGGGATGTGGCTGCTGGGGCTGTTGTGTGGCCGGTGCAAGGGCTGGAAAAGGCTGTTGTCATTGTCCTGATCCTTTTAGGGCATGTTTACCTCACCCAAGACCCCAATTACTCCTGGGATTGGGGCTCTTGCTCCTTCCCGTGGGAGGTGTTACATCCCCTTCTGCATCCCTGCAGAAGAGAGCTGTGGGTTAGAGAAGGCTGTTTTATAGCCACAAACTATTTTATAGGCACAAACTGTGTAGAAAATGAACCACTAGGCTGCCCGTGAGCAGGATTTGGTAGGGAGGAGAGGGGGAAACCTCCTTCTCTCTGAAAGCATCGCCTCTGAAGAGATGAGGAAAGGCAACACTTCTGCTCCATTTTAATTTTTTGCCTTTTTTTTTTTTTAACATTCTCTATTTTAATAAGTGGGAGCCTGGCTCCTGAGTGGGGCCGTGAAACACTCATCCTGGCATCTCCAGAAGCAGAAATGCCGGAGGTGGGGCACGTGGAGGCCCAGCTGTCCTCCAGGCAGCCCTGATTGGGCTTGGAGGTGACCAAAGGGTCCCCAGGGCTGGTCCCTCCCCACCCGGGGTCATTCTCGGAGGCTGCCCGCTCTCTCCAAACCTCAGACTAATTGGATGCTGCTCTCTGAGCTCTAAATCAAATCACAGCTCCCATGAAATGAAGTTTTCTGGACGTGAATGGCCGCCTGCATCATCCATCACCGCCCGGCTCACGGTGCATCCCTCTTGGGGGTTGTCGAAGGTCAGCGTTTGCCTTTTCCAGCCACCTGCTGTCAGCTTTTCCCTGTTAAGGATGGCACCTGGGGAGGTGATAATTCCATTGAAGGCTCCCCCCTGTGTCCCCCTGCTGTCCCTGGTGCCCCTCACTCTTGGCAATGTTTTGGGGTGCAGTTTGATAACAGGGTGTGGGAGCCGAGCGTGTTGGTCTCTATTATTATCTCTGTGTTGGGTCCCCTGATGGATGGAGATATTAGCTGGGTTATGGGCCTATTGATTTCTCAGGGATATTTTTTTTTCTCCTTTGTTTCGTGTGCGAGAGCGGCTCGAGGAGGAAATCCAAAGTGTGCCCGCCTTTTGGCTTCGTACAGGAACTTTCCAAGAGCTGAAAATCAATTTGTGGCTGGCAGGGTCCTGCGAATCACTGCAGCCGGGTTAGGAGGGTGGGGGATTTTTGGAAGGGGGGGGGTCCCCACAGTGCCTACCGGCACATGCAGCAGCGAGGGGGCCGGGGAAGACTTGGGCAGGTCTCATCTGGAAGCTGCCACTTCCCTCCGTCAATTAGGGCCTCGTGGAGAGTGGGTAATTAGATCTCCTTGGCTGACACTTGGGCCCTATCAATTAGCCTTGCTCTGGATGAGGCACAGAGGGATGTGGGGACCAGTAATGAAAAGAGGTTGCGCTGGGCATCGCTGGAGGGTGGGGGTGATGGGGGCAGTGGGCGCGGGACGGGTCCTGCACCAACTTCTTGGGTGCATCTGGCTCACTTTTGCTGAAATAGCAGGTTTCGGGGGTGGGATCCTGGCACTTTGGGTTTACCCACCTTCACAGCACCCCCCCTTTCCTGACGGTCTCCCTAAAAGAGCCATTTATTTAGCCCCGCTGTGGGAACGGAGGCGGCATCAGCGGGGATGGGGACACTGGGCAGCCCCCTTGGGCAGAGGGGAAGAACTGACAGTGGGTTTTTCTCCTTGTCCTCCCTTCCAGGGCTGCTGGCATCTCCCCGTGACCATGCAGCGCTGCCTGTCCCGGCCGGCCACCCTGGGGCCGGTGTGACCGTGACACCCTGCCTGTCCTTTTCTGGGTAGGTGCCTGCGGGGTGGCGGGGGGGACGCTGGGGTTCGCCTGCCCCAGAGAGGGGATGGAAGACCTTATCAATGCCTACAAGTATCTCAAGGGAGGGTTGAAGGAGGAGGGAGCCAGACTCTTTTCAGTGGTCCCCAGTGAGAGGACAAGGGGCAACGGGCACAAGTTGGAACATAAGAGGTTCCACTCAAATATGAGGAGAAACTTCTTCACGGTGAGGGTGACAGAACCCTGGAACGGGCTGCCCAGGGAGGGTGTGGAGTCCCCTTCCTTGGAGATTTTCAAGACCCGCCTGGATGCAGTCCTGAGTAACATGCTCTAGCTCTAGGCAATCCTGCTTCAGCAGGGGAGTTGGACTAGATGATCTCTATGGTCCCTTCCAACTCTAAAAATTCAGTGAAATTCAGTGAAATTCAGTGAAGAGAGAGCTCCTTTCCCAGCAGCATGTAAAACATTGTCCACTCGCAAGATGATGCATCCGTCTCCTCCATAATTAATTTTAAAGAGGAAAAGGCCGAGTGCTGACTAAGCCAGGCCTTCACCCTGCAAAGCTGCGTGATTCACCAGCGCAGGCTTTTCCTGCAGAGCATTTCTCCAACCTCGGGAAATGTTTCCTTTCCCTGCTCCAAATTTAAAAAAAAAAAAAAAAAAATTATTACAATAAGAATAAATAATTACCACCATCATCATCATCTGCAGGACCCAACATGCTTTTTGCACCACGGAGGCTACTGGGGGAGCAGATGTGTGCTGAGCCCCATCCCTGTGGGATGGAGGAGGTGGAGCAGGGCTTCCTGCAGGTCCCAAAGCAAGGCAAATTCTTGGGAAGTGGGGAAACGTGTGGGAAGGGTGCTGGTGGGACACAGCTAACCTCTCCCTCTGCTCTTCCCAGGTCCAACGCCTCCGTCACTGAACGTAAGTAGCCCCCAGGGCCCATGGCACGGGAACAGTGGTGGGGGCTGCTTGGCTCATGCCAAGCCCCTGTTAGACCCACCGGTGCCCAGCAAGGGGTGCATTTTTTTGGGCTCAGACTGCCAGAGTTGTGGAGTTCAAAGGCTCCACTTTGGCTTTTCCTGGTGGAAACCCAGATTTGCTTCTACATTTTGAAGCAGAAGCTGCATTTTCTGCCAGGAGGGTGGAAATTGGCTCTTTTGGCTCAGCAAGGGGGGAGGCTGTGCGAGCGGACTGTGGGGTTGTTTGCCAAAGACCCCAAGGCAGAGGCAGCGATGGCAGTGAGGGGATGTGGTGCTGCATCTCAGGTGTCCTCTCGCTGAGAGGAGGAGAATGATACTGGATGATAGTTTTCCAGCTGGGGAGGGAGGAACAGGGATGTGATATTTTGGGATGCCTCGAGGGTGTCACATCTATGATGCGACAACGAAGCCAAGGGTAGGTCCAACTGTGGTTGGACTCGATGATCTCTGAGGTCCCTTCCAACCACTACGATTCTGTGATTCTGTGATTCCATGTCCCAAGTAACACATGTCCCCGTGTCCCTACCTTTCAGAGTTTGATGGAGAATCGGTCGGATGACAGCGGGAACTGTTGTTATCACCGGGGGAATCCTAGCGACGGTGATCCTACTGTGCATCATTGCCGTGCTCTGCTACTGTAGGCTACAGGTGAGCACCGTGGCCGTCCCCCATCTCACCATGAACCCCAGCAGTGCTGCTGCTCCTCGGGCTGAACTGCTGGTGCGGGAGGCTGGATATTAGGAAAAATTTTTTCACTGAAAGGGTTATCAGCCATTGGGATGGGCTGCCCAGGGAGGTGGTTGAGGCACCATCCCTGGAGGTGTTCAAAAGACGGGTTGATGTAGTGCTGGGAGGTATGGTTTAGTGATGATGCTCCTTGTTTGTGGTGTGGGTGTCTATTTTTGTCAGTTAGGTTGACGGTTGGACAAGATGATTTTTAAGGTCCCTTCCAACCTAGAAGATTCTGTGATTCTGAAGGGGGTTTCTTGCCTGTGGTGGGCAGGGAGTCGAAACCCCCTTTTCCCCTCTGGTGCTGCAGAGATACATCTTCTCCTCCTCCTGGCACGGGCGGGGGGACTTCCCTAAGGCTTTTGAGGCTCTGCAGCAGTTGCTAATATAGGTGTAGGCTTGGCTGGGTTTGCAGTACCAGATGGAGATTTTTATTCTTTCTTCCCCCCCCCCTGTAAATTAAACGAGGAGGCTTTCAACGACAGCTCACTACAGCCTCCTGCTCTTTAAAAGTTAATGCGAAGCCTGTGCCGTGCAGCAGCGCCTGTGTGATGGAAAGCACAGTGGTTCCTTGGAGGACTTTCCAACTGGCAGGGGAAAATCCCTTCCCCTTCCAAACCTCGCTGGGAGCTGAAGGGGGGGGACGAGTTCCCTGGCAGCTGCCTCCCACAGCACACCTCAGGTCCAGGTTTTGTCCAGCTTCTGCTGCTTTGCAGGACCCAGGTAGCCATGGATGGGGCAGGGAGGGTTTCCCGGGCAGGGGGATGAGGAGAGATGGCCTCAAGTTGCGCCAGGGGAGGTTCAGGCTGGATATTAGGAAAAATTTTTTTCACTGAAAGGGTTCTCAGACATTGGAATGGGCTGCCCAGGGAGGTGGTTGAGGCACCATCCCTGGGGGTTGATGTAGGGCTGGGGTGGATGGTTTAGCAATAATGCTCCGTGATTGTTGTGCGGGTGTCTATTTTTGTCAGTTAGGTTGACGGTTGGACAAGATGATCTTTAAGGTCCCTTCCAACCTAGAAGATTCTGTGATTCTGAGAGCAGGGATGTGGCAGCACCAGCTGTTCCGCTCCCCCCCCCCGCAACACAACCCCTTCCTCTTTTTACCCAGTACTATTGCTGCAAGAAAGATGACTCCGATGAGGAAGAGGAGGAGGAGGAGGAGGAAGAGGAAGAGCCCGACCTCCCCACGCACTCGCACCTGGGCACCTGCAACGCCTGCAACTCCCGCATGGTGGATGGCCAGGGCAGCCCCGCGCCCCCCCTCAGCGAGCTCAACCAGCATGGGGCCCACAACTACTGCCCGACCTGCTCCCCTTACGCCTCCCCTTTTTACATCCGGACTGCCGACATGGTGCGCAACGGTGGGGAGAGGGTCACCTACACCCCAGCGTGCTACAAGGAGATGGGGCCGCCCATCAACATGGCCACCTTGCAAAGCTACCCGGTGAGCCGCCACGGCCTCCTGCGCGACAGCTTCCCCAACCCGCGGGCTATCAGCACGGAGGTGTAGTCACCATCGCCACCACTAGCACAGGGTGCCCACCCCCACAGCCGGCGCCTGCTCCAGGGAAGAAGGGGCTTTTTTCACTTGTCTTTGGAGGGGGTGGGGGCTCCCCGCAGAGAGAGGACCCCCGTCAGCCCAGCCCCAGACCAGCACGGTCCTCCTGCTGAACCGCCCAGCTTTACGGGCCAGAAGATGAGAGAGACCTCCAAAGGGCGACGTTAAACCGGCCACCTCCGAACCCATCGTAAGTGTCATTATTCTTCTTCTACTCTGCCTCCTGAAGGGACTTAACGAGGGCTATGTACAGTACAACCTAATTTAATTACCCCAGGCTCCCCCGACTCCCCCAGCGTGGCCTCCGGTGTGTGTCCCCCCCACGCAGCCACCCGAGGTGATGCCCCGCCGCCGCCTCCAGCACATGGAGGGATGCCTGACCAACCCACCAGCTGCTGTGTGCCCCCCTCCATCCCTGGCAAATCCCACTGCTGAGCTGGGAATGGCCATGCTCCTGGGTGGTGGGAAAGCAAAGAAGGGCAGATCCAGGTGGTCCCGCTCCCCTCGCACTGCATTAGTTGCTGCTAGCAGTTTGCTCTTCTGTTGGAGTCCAAGACAGTACACCCACCGCCTCCCACCCGCGACGGTCTTTCCACGTGCTGGAGAAGTTCCCCACATGAGTTTGGATCACCACCGGGGGAGGGCAAAGTTGCTCATGAAACCGCTCACCTACGCAAATGGGCAGGGGCTGATCCTTCTGCAGCCAAAGCCCCCACCTCTTCTACTCTTCACAAAGCTTTCTTAGGAGCGATTTTAACTTGGACCCATAAAAATGGCAAGATTTTACTTACAGGAAGAGTCGCATCCCTAAATGACTGCAGTTTTGGTCGTCTTCAGCGTTTTGAAGCCCTACCAGCCCACCCTGACAGTTCTGGACAACCAGAGGAAGGTTGGTTTTAGGATGGCTTTTGCTTTCAACAGCAACAGCACAGACCACCGGGTCATATCTCCTTTGCAGGGCCCAGGACCTCCTGTGGGAGAGTGATGTTCAGGTGGTCGGGGTCCCCCCTCTTTTGCTTTTGGGAGAAGAGGAAGCAAGACCCCAACCTGGGTTCACCGGCTCTGCGGCTGGCAGTGACAGCCAGCGACTCTGCCTTTCTGCAAAAATGAATGTGGGAAAGTTCCTTCTTCCTCCATAAATCAAATTAGGTGAAAAATTACTAAAAGGACATCTCCATCATTCACAGGCACTTCCATAGCAACCGGTGCAGGACCGCTCGGCAGAGAGCTTCCCATTCATGGCAGGGAGGAGGGACCTGGAGAGCAACAATCCCCGCAGCCGTGTGGATGCTGTTGGAGGCCATGGCAGGAAAGGCTTGCCATGCCTTTGCAATATAGGCTATGACCACTCGGGAATGTGGTTTGGGTTTTTTTTTTTCACCACCATAACTTAGAAATAATCCTGCTGCTCACAGGACTTGGCCTTAACCTCCCTGTTTGTGCACAGAAAAAGTAGGTCTCAGCATGGAGGTGCACTCTCCGTGAGCCTCAGATGTCTATGCTATCAAGCAAAAGGCTAATTTACACTTTGGACCTGCTCATGCCTTGTCACCTCTGCTTAAACTACCCGAAGAAAAGGAGTCAGATGAACGCCAACCGTGGTGACTATCCTTGCAACCACACACCTTGCCCCAGCCCACATTTTACACAGCCTTTGGAGAAAACGTTGTCCACCTTTTCCCCCACCTCTGGCCCAGAAAGACACTGTGTTTCTACTCTCCTGAGCCTCAGTCTAGCTGCCTGTCTTTTACAGTCTCCTTCTGTTCTCCAAATAGCGATAGTGGGTCTTTAAATGTCCTCTCACATTAGGGGCAGGCAGGAGGGAAGATGAAAGTTAGCAGCAGCAAAGCGCTCTGGATCCCACCGGCCAACAGTCTGTAGCTCCTACTGCTTCCCAGCCAGCCAGTACTCCTCCCTGAAAATATAGTCTCTACCTGGAAAAAAATCTTGGCTAACTCAGTAAACCCCATCCTTTCCAATTAAGAGCATCTGCTCCGCTAGGTCTCCATCCTGCTGGGAGCCACAAGTTCATATGTCCCAGCATGACCTGTGGGCTCTCGCCCGCACGGCTCTGCCAGCTGGCCCTGCCATGCCACCCCCTCGAAGGGCACGGAGCCAGCTTGCTGGCACGGTGGCTCCTGGCATCCAACTCTACCTCTTGGCACACAGCAAGGCTTTCCACCACAACAGGCCAAGAACTCCGAAGGGAAGGAATAGCACAAGGGGCTTTTGCTTCTTTGGGTCACCCTTCTGGTGGAAGGCAGGCGACCGCATCATCATTTCCATCACATGGAACTTAAGTGTGACCTGTTGCCTGTTAACGAGGTGCCAAGGCTGGCGTGACAGTTCCAGAGGAGCCGGATGGCCAACACGAGGGTTATCCTCATGGCCAACACAACACCCTGGGCCTGGCACGGCTACAGAGAAGCGGGTGAGTCTGGAAGGGCTGGAAATGTGTGAGATGCAACTGTGGGTTTTAAGGTTTTGGGGATGGTGGAGGAACAGGATGGGGTAGGGGCAGGGATCCCAGACTTTTTCCACTTCAGATTATTATTCTCCGTCTTTGTTGTTCAGCTATGGGTCCAAATTCAATGTCAGAAATAAACGAGGACTTTGAAATACTAAACAGGAGTGGCTGCTCTTCTTTGGCAGGCAGTACAAAACAGGGTTTATCCAGTACTGCCTGGAAGCTGTACTGTTGCAAGGATTTCCCCCCCCTACCCTTCCTGCTCCTGCTTTCCTTCCTCTTGTGTCCCTCCCCCTCCCTTGCCTCTGGCCTAGGTACATGCATCCCAGTATTTAAAGTTTAGCTCTTTATTGTGACACAGAATTTTTTGGTGTGTTTTGGAAATTGTCCTTGTAGAAGAATCTGCAGGGCAGACCAGAGAGATGGCTGATGTCGTCTGCGCCCAGCTGCGGGGTGGCCTCTGCGTCCCACCACCTCCAGCTAGGGAGATGTCGGAGATGACGACAGCAGGGACAGGCTTTCCCAACTGCCTTCTCAGTAGCTTTCTAGGAATTGATGGTTTGTCTTGTGTAAAATCCTCTTGGTGGAGAGGAAACAGCGATGACTAAGTCCTAGGAATCCTTCCTCACTGAGCTGGCTGGTCTACAGGGAATGGCTCCACAGCCAAGCCAGGTGAGATGGCTTCAAGTGGTAAAGTCTGGCTCAAGGGGGCTCTTGCCCCTGACCTTGGAAGGGAAGTATGGCCTGGCAGCAGTCAGGGTGACTTGAGCCGACATGACCAGCAGCAAGCCTTCCTGTAGTACCAGTGAGAGCACAGCTTCACCTTCAGCACCAGCACACAGTTGGCCGTCGCTTTGTCTTCACAGTCTTCTTCTGGGGAGCAGAAGCATCGGCAGAAGGGGGTTAAAAAGGAGATGTGCATCCCCAGCAAAGAGGTGGACAGAGCAGAGGGCTCCCAAGGGCTCCTCTCCCTCCCTGACCTCCCAGGCTTACCTGGTGCCTCTGTGGGGCACGGCTGGAGTTGGCAGGTCTGCCTGGCTTCTGGTTTGGAAGTGGGGTCACAGCCCTGAGCCAGTGCTTCCCCCTGGTAACACTTCACCTCACGCAGCCGCACGCCAGCACCACACGTCTTGCTGCACTGTCGGAATCGAGAGAGAGGAAAGGGATCACAAGAAGGATTTTTTTTATTTTTCTATAGTTCCCAAGTGCGTTCTTCCAGTGAGGCCTCCCAGTCCCTGCTTTGGAGACTGTTCTTTAAGGTTTGGGTCAAATTTCACACCGATCACAAAATTATGTTCCCTTTTTGTTGCTGTTCGAGAGCCTCCCTGAGCCATGGTTGGGGCAGAGCAAGCGAGGAGTTTGCTTTTCTCTCTTTAATGCAACTCAGAATTATTTTTGCTTAGAGTGTTGATGCTGTGATAGAAAATGGCTACTGCGAGCCAGGCCCAGCTTCCCCTGTCCACCCATTCCCCAGTTAAAATCAAGGGAAAGCAGGGAAAGACAGAACATTGACTCTTGGCAAAGGAGGAGACACAGCTGTATTGCCCACAGTGTGGTGCATGCTCTTGCTTAAGGCAATAATCCAGGTGCTCTAGTCTTCCCCAGCTCCCATGTCAGTCCTTCCACCCGCTGCCTGGTCTGCAGAAGAGCAGAGCTCGTGGTCCCATCCAGACCTAACAAAGCCCTCAGCAGAACAGGCTGCTAGAAATCCTCAGTGCAAGTCATGCTTCATGAACCTCAGGGTTATGAGGCCTCCCGTCCCCCTTCCCCACCACCCCGAGCCCTACCTGAGACCAGGAGGTAGTGAACCACGTTGAACATGGCCTCCTGAAACAGGCGGCTTGTTCCTCAGGTTTCTGAGAGGCTTCACAGCGCTTCTCGGGGTACTCCCTGTACACACCATTCTCCAGGCCCGCGCACAGGACAACCCGGGTTTTCATCCCTCGCCCACAGCTGGCATCGCACTGGGAAAGAGAAAGAAACAGCCAGGTAACAAATGATGCTCATCAGCTGAGAGCTTCAGGCTGCAGGTAAGATGGCATCTTGCCCAGAAGCAAGGTGTTTAATGCAGGTGCTAACACTAGTCTAATGGAAGTAGTGCTTCTCAGGTCACAAAAAGCGATGGATGGCCAAAGCAAAGGAGCCAAATTTCCTGGGGAACGAAGACAAGAGCTGCTAATTAGTGTTTAGCCAGCACTGGGAATGCCAAATTCACCTTGGCTGGCCTTGAGAGCCGCTACCACAAGGGACCCGGAGCAGCCAAGGTAAGCCTACAAGAGGCTGTTTCTGTTTTATTTTATGTGTGTCCATGTTCTCAAAAACCATGTAGCATATTCGTGCAGCAACCTACATCCTGGAGTACTGACAAGCTTTGTGTGGGCCCAAGGGAACCAAACTGGCGCACTGCAGGTGATTTGCATGGACAAGTACTGCTGAGCCCAAAGCTATGCAGGCTTAGCTGGGAGGACTCACTCTCTCAAGACACCACCAAGAGAAGCAGCAGGAGGCAGGATCTGATTCCTAGCTCAGCTCTGCAACCTGACGCCCATGGAGGCAGTTGCTAGTTTTGAGATTTCACTGCTTTGTGCCCTTCTTCACCACAGCAGGTGAAGCTCAGCTGGCTTGCATCTGTCCTTAAGAGCTGATCATCCCAGAGAAGATAGCAAAGGCAAAAAGCTGGCACACGCAAAAGCGGGGAGCTCAGCTTGTCTTTCGGAGTTTGTTGAGGCTTTACCTTTGGTGGGACCAAAATCTTGGGAGGGGTAAGTACAATTTCTGGACCAAGAGCTCTGCTGAGATGTCTGCAAATGCCAGCTGGGAGCCAGAGGTGGGAGAGGTTTCCTTATGACATTGCTGCCCTCCAATGGAAGTCCATGAGAAGGCAGCAAATGATGACAAAAACTATGGGGTGGCCTTCCCTTTTTTTAGAAAAAAGGAGCTAGCACAAGGGCACAGCTCCATGGCTGGAGGTCACGCCATACAACCTTGCTCTGCCAAGGGAGCCAAGCTCCCACCATCTCCTGTGGGATATAGGGTGGAAAGGAGGGTTGAGAACACAGGGCTGGGCTTGGCTTTACCTGGTCCCATTCCTGCTCCACCCAGTGTGCGGGGCAGTTCTTGTCTCCACACGGATGGACAGCCAGGGGCTTAGTGGCTGGGTCACACTGTGAGTTGGAGATCACTTTGCCCTCCAGGTTGCGACATGCGATGAAGCGGCTCATGCGTCCCTCACCACACGAACCTGAGCACTTGGAGGAATAAAGGGCATTTAGACACCTCCGAAAGCAAGAAGGTGTAGGGTTCAGGGTCAGTGGTACCAGGAGACCTGGGTCTAGTCCTGGGTCTAGCCTAGCCCTGCCATTGGGACTGTGGCACTGGACCCCAGGGGTTTTTAGAGGTACAACTGGTCAGGGGCTTCCCTTCTCCAGGTGCCGTGAGCTTCCCAGATTATTGAATGGAACTTGCTTCACAGCTAACCAAAATTTAGAGCACGGAGAGGGAAAAATACAGATTATTCTGGTTTCTTTAGCTTAGCCTTTGCCAGAAGAGAGCAGCAACATGACTGCCCACCTGCCCCCTCCCACCAGCCCTGCACCCCTGGCATCAGGTGGGAGGAGAAGCAGACTCTCTGGACTCACCGGGCCCCAATCTGAAGTGGTCCAGCGGCGGTCGCAGGGAGGACCCGTGCAGGTCTTCTCGCTGCTGGGCTTCTGAGACTCGTCGCAGAGGGGTGCTTCCACCGAGCAGCGCACCTCCCGCTTCATCGTCCCCTGCGTGCCACACCGGGCTGAACACTGCAATGGCCACACGGAGTCAGCCCTGGGGCTCAGACGTGGAGAACAAGGGGGACAAGCAAAGGCAAGGGAGGAAGCCATGCCTCCTCCCCTTTCCCTCTGGCTGCGCTAAAGGAGAGAGGAAGGGCCCCAGCAGGGACAGAAGAAGGTGGGTCCATCTCTATCTCTGCTGCTTATTTACTTTGGGTCCTAGAGCTCCAGTGCTCCAAGGTGCTGATGCCTGGACTGCTGTTCAAAGCCACTGGGCCATAAGGGATTTCAATTGGGTTTTAGCTTCTCTGTATCCCCATTCACCCTTGGGGTGCCTCACCTTGAGGCAAAGCATCTTGCTAGCAGGGCTTCCATTTGGTCAACATCCTGCTTGAGAAGTGACCTTAGAAAAATGTTTTGCAATGGCCTTTGTCTGCTGAGCACTGCCAGAAGAGCGGAGCCACGGGTAAAGGCAGTCCTTGTTTCCCCAGGATGCAGCTGGGCTTCCTCAGCGCCCAACATCCATCAGCCACCTTCCTCCAGGCCCCAGCCCAGCTCTGGCTCCTTACCTCTGGGAGCAAAGCTCCCCTGCTGCCTACCTCGGACCACTCGGAGAGCTCCCACTGGGGGCCACAGGCCTTGTTCTTGCAGGCTTTCCTCTCCATGGGCCTGGCCAGCCCAGCTGACTCACAGAGGTCATCATAAACGGAGCTGTCAAAGCCTGGAGCCAGCATCTTCCAGCAGCGCACAGTACGGTACTGGTAGCCCTCACCACAGGTCCTGGAGCATTCACTCCACCGGCTGGTCTCCCACCTCCACGAGCAGTCCCCAGGAGAGAAAACACAGAGGAAAACCCAGGTAAGGGGGACAAGGGACCACGGGGTGGCTGGGGACTGCCTCAACGCCTGGGACTCCCTCACCCAGTAGCTGCTGCTATGAATCTGCTCATCATGTATGTATCTGTGTTAAGGTGGTGCTGGTCTTGAAAGCCAACTTTGCCCTTAGCAGGTAATTTAGACAGCAAGTTCCTTCCCTTTTTTTTGCTTACAAGGGGATACAAGGGCTTAGCTGTTTAAGGGTATCTTTCAGCCCAGAAATGGCTGCATACCTTGAGCAGAAAATGATCCTTAAAAAGATATGCTGTCCCCGTGGACAGCTGATGTCATTTCCACTCACCTAGGCTGGCAATCTCTCCCTGTGCAAAATTCGTGAGTAGGTTCTGGTCGGGTTAGGGCATCGCAGTACGTTTCATCCACTTCTACTCCGTCGTACCGGACACACATCGCATAGGAGGTGCTGATACCTGCTGGGCAATCAATACCCTCCTGGTCAGGCTCCATCAGATCCAATGGCCTCCTCCCACCATGATTAA